GTGTGTGTGTGTGTGTGTGTGTGTGTGTGTGTGTGTGTGTGTGTGTTTGCATGCCAATAGAGTGTTTTTAAGTACTTTTTAAAATGCATTCTTGCTGCAAAATAATCAAGTGCATTAACAACCTCTTTCTCAAGACCTTTTGCCCTGGAAAGAGCTGAACTAATGCTGACCTATAATCATTTTTCTTCCATTTTAGAGTGTGCTGTTAATTTAAGAATGCAACACACACACATGCATTTAAACACTGATAGATTACAAACCCACATGATCTCAAAAACAGCATGCTGAATGATTTTATTGATGCAAATCATCATGCTTGTGTGATCGTGGAATTATTGATGTGCAATTGCATATTCACTGTGGCCTACATAGAGTGAAATTCCTCTGTTATGTAATCCTGATGGCGCATGTAATCTGCCTCACCGATCTCATGTTTTCCTACAGAAAAAGACTGATTTGTTGAAGGTGTGATGAGAACTTACTCAGATGCCCGTGGGAGTCCCACAGCTCGGCACAAGGTGGCAGGTGTCTGTGGGACCAGGGACCGACAGCAGGGGTCCTGAGCATCATTATCATCTTCATCAGCAGAGTCTGGACTGACATTGCTGGGTCCCGCAGGAACGAGCTGCATGTCCAGGGGGGAATGATGCTGCTGCTGCTTGGTTTGGACCGGGGGCGTCCCGGCTCTGCTGGTTCGGGGCAGGCTGGAGGTCCGGGGGGGCGGAGGCGGATGATAGCGGGGAGGGTGCCAGTGATGGCTGCTGGAGTCCCGCAGCTGCCGATTCTCAACCGCTAGATCCTCCAGCCGGCGCTCGAGTATGTCTATCCGGTATCGCTGGGTTTGGATCAGACTCTGCTGGTTCTGCACGATGGCGGTGAGCTCCTTCAGATAGAGCACCGCCTGCAGAGGGTTCTCCAGAAGGCTCGACATCCCGTGCGACGCTCCTCTTGAAAAAGCCGACAAATGATCCGATCCAAGCGGGGCGTCTTGTTTTCAGTGCCCCTGAGCAGTTGCACGGGTTGATATTTAAATGGCTGAGCCGAGAGAGAGAGAGAGAGAGAGAGACCCCCGCCTCCACCTCCGTGCCCAGAGCGCGCATGAAGGAATGCGCGGAGTGGTGCTGATGCGAGGATGTCAAAACACGGGATTGAAGGGGGCGGGGCCGCGTTCGCCAGTGACGTCAGGGGGCACGTAATGAGGCGCAATATCAGAGTTTGCTTAAGTTTATTTATCTCCTAAATATATAAATAAGAAATCTGGATATGCTTGTTTATTCATTTCTTTTCTGTTTATATTAATCGTTCATTTAGATTCGTTGTTAATAATTAATCATTAATTATAAAATGTATCTTTGTATGCCTTTTAATCTTCAAAAAAATAAAAAAAACATCCCTATGGCATGTACACATGAAACATGCTTAGTGTCTTATTTTATTGCTGCAAATTTAAATTTCTGTTGCTTGGTTACCAAATGAAAGTTCTTTTCCTCCTTATTTTCAGGGTGCATTATTAGCAGCATAACTGTTTCTCACTATAATGCCAAAGCGTCAATTAAAATAATAATAATAATAATAATAATAGTACAGAAAACAAGGCAAAAATCAGAAAGTTAATGATGGGAATGGTTAGCTGCTAACAAAACTGATCAAAACGGCTTCACAACTTTCGTATACATGCCTACATGAAATATACCACACAAAGAGAAGTGACTTTCGAAAGCTGTTTATTCATTGACAATTATTTTAAGATTCTTGTGGCCCACACAAAAGTACAGAAAAATACACGAGGACATACATCACGATAAATGCCAAATTATATTGTTAACAAAAACAGCAGCAGCAGCAATAACAATGATCATGGTGATAATAATAATAGTACAAATGAAAAGTGAAAATTATTAACACAACAGTTGCTCAACAGTCATAATGTCTCATACACGAGTCAGTTTTAGCATTTTAATAGACATTTAATAAATATTTTAATAATTCATACAATATTGATATGTAGATCAATTATATACTTTAAATTTGTTTCGTTTTTATTATTTTATTATGCGTTTTTCGTCAGTTGTTACGCGCTGACGTCAGGCGTCACGTGATCTGAGAGTGCGGAAGTTGTGATCCTGAAAGTCTTGAGCGCCTTCAAGCAGCCGAACGTTTGCGCTTTTGGCAAATAAATGGTCAGGTAAAGTGTTCGCTTTCTATCTTAACAGCGGCGTTTCATAGATATTTTATAGTTATCCGTTCATATTTTTGGCCGCTGTGTTTTCTTCAGCGGTGATTGCCGGATGCTCGCGTTATGCATATCAAATGAGAATCAGTGTTTCAGATAGCTGTCATATTACTATTATATTCTCTTATTAAAAGGTTTGCATTGCGACACACAACATAACCGTGTTTATTCAACTTTATCCGACTCTTGTGAGCGACTCTTGTGACTCTGTTTAGGCTGGATTAGTGTTTCATGTTGCTGTATTAGATTGAATCTAGATACGTGACCCATGTATCTGCGGGGGCAAAAAGCATAAATCCCACATGATATGAAATTTACATTTCCATACAGTGTCCACTGAAGCATAAATATGTGGGCTGCCAACTTCAGTATGCAGTGTATTTGAATGTCATATTTAAGTATAGCACATCACACATATCAGCTACTACTTTGGCAAATTATAACACTAGATAATTGAAAATGACTTAAGACTTTATATTTCACAATTTGCTCATACAGATTGAATGATTCTTTGGTGTGTGTCTGTGTATGTGTAGGATGACTCCGAAACGTTACCTGGAGGGACAGGTGTACTCTGTACCGCTCATCCAGCCGGATCTGAGGAGAGAAGAGGCTGTGCATCAGATCACTGATGCATTACAGTACCTGGAAACGATATCAACAGACATCTTCAATAGGTGAACACACATTTATACACACTCTTTTATGCTGCAAAGAGTGCTTTTGTGTAGATCAGAGATGCAGAAGTTCAAGAGGCTAGAATCAATAATATTATAGCAGTTCACACCAATGTTATATATTAGTGCTACTTTTTGAGTTGCCCATTCAGGTCTCAAAAATAAGGATTTTTTAATAGGTGGATATAGATTTTATGATTGTAGATTTTATGTATGTAGCTGAACTTACATTTATTTTAGCAACATATTTTGTATGTAACAATTTTTTTTCTTCTTGATTTTTTTGAATTATTAAAAAAAAATGTTTTGCTATAAATAATTTATTAGTTAATTTTTAATATATTATAATACATTTATATATACAGCACTGCTCTTTTACAGAAATTAATACTTTTTTCAGCAAAGATGCATTAAACTGATCAAAAGCAACAGTACAATATTTATAATGTTACAAAAGATGTCTAGTTCAAATACAAGCTAGACAACTTTCTATTCCAGTAAATGTTTCTTAAGCAGCAAATCAACATATTAGAATGATTTCTGAACGATCACGTGCCACTGAAGACTGGAGTTATGATTCTGAAAATTCAGCTTTGTATCAGAGAAATAGATTACATATTCAAATACATTAAAATAGAAAACAGGTATTTAAAATTGTAATAATATTTCACAATATTACTGTTTATTATTTAGATTATCAAATAAATGCAGCCTTGATGAGAGTTTAAAATCCTTATTTAAATCTTATCGATCCCAAACAATATTTAAATCATAAGAATTAACAAACTTTCGATGAATAACACATAGCAAATGTTTATGTGCGCAAGGCATAAAAACACATGTATATGATCAACATAAGATGTAGTGACGACGCAGCACTGGTCCTTTAAGGTAAGTGACAGCTCAGTCCACTGGCCCGAAACCCCCTCACACCGGCCCCAGGTGGTGCGCCTGGCTATTGAAGGAGGGAGCATGATTAGACCGTGTCAAAATAACAAAGGAGAGAAACACAATGAAAAGTGTGTTTTGCATGAGATGCAGTTGTGAGGGAGTGAGTGCTCAAATATGCTAATTCCAGCTGAACAGGCTGGAAAACCATCCACAGCGTTACCATGACAACATGGCACGTAGGGGTCCAGGGAACATGTGTGTGTGTGGTGAAGCAGTGCGTTTCTAGGTCAGCTCCATTAAGCCTCCCCCCCCGCCCCCCTTCTCTTTTAGTCATTCTTCTGTCATTTTCCCCCGTTTCTAATGGAGGGACTCTTTTAGTTTAGTGCCATAGTTTAGTTTAGTTTAGCACACTGACTCAGTAGTGATGATAGGACTGTACACATGCACAATTACGCTCTCCTTCCTGCTGCGTTTTTTTGATGTTTTCAGGCTGGCGTATACTGTAGCTGCCTTCTGCAATCAAGGCATCTTTTTTCCCTTTCGCAATGTTTGTCCACAGAAACAGTGTAGAATGGACAAACGAAAGAGATACGCGGCTGGTAAACACAGATGGCTTACAGTAGGTGTAATAAAAAGACATTACAATATCAAGCCAGGACAAATGGCATTGGCATAGAGCCACCAAGGTCACAGTGTACGCGCTGTTTCATCTGCTAATGTGCTGCAGTACACCATTATTCAGCATGATGTTTGGAAAATATTACTTTAAGCGTTTCTCATTCGTCCAGGTTCGGCTGTCGCAACTGTGCTCACCAAGGCTGCATTTATTTGATAAAAAAATACAATAAAAACAGTAAAATTGTGAAATGTTATTACAATTCGAAATAACTGTTTTCTATTTGAATATATTTAAAAATGTAATTTATTCTTGTGATGCAAAGCTGAATTTTCAGCATCACAACTCCAGTCTTCAGTGTCACATGATCCTTCAGAAATGTCTTTACTGTCACTTTTGATCAATTTAATGCATTCTTGCTGAATAAAACTAATAATAAAATAGAAAGTCATCTTACTGACAAACTTTTTTTTAATGGTAAGGTACATGTATATTACATATATTATTATATGTCTATTACAGGGCTCTCTGGAAAAAGAGAATGCAATATCTCAATGGGATTTTCTTGGTTAAATTTAAAAAAGCAATGATGCACTTATAACCTTATTTCTTATAGCACATTAAACACAAAATTGCAAAATTAAATTTGTACTTAATGCAGTATTTACATAGAATTTGTCATTCAGAAATACCTGCAAAACAGAATGATTTTTTTTTCATAGGCAGATTAAAAATATTATTTTTGAAATTGAAATTAGCATTGTTGATCATGTAAAAATGGTTAACCATCCAGCAAACATACTGGCTTAAACTGGATTCATTGTGAAACCGTTTTAATCAACAACAAAAGAAATTGAGAATGGCCTGAATTTCAGATTACACTTTTGTGAAGTTCTGATCTAGTATACTGCAGTTATAGTTTGACTTGGTTTGGTTTTGACAGGGTGTCTCAGAGCGTGGAGAAGAACCGTGCACACCTTCAGTCCGTCACAGACCGGATCAAACTGGCTCAGGCCAGAGTCCAGAAGATCAAAGGAAGCAAGAAAGCCACAAAGGTGATGCAGATGATCCAGACACACAGAGAATCTGACAGTCAGTCACACAGCGTAGAAGAGAAACTTATTCTGCAACATATGCCTGGAGCAGAAAGTGAATATGAGTTGTAGGTTGGGCATAAGCTAATCATTAAAACTTATCAAGAAAGGTCTGAGAACTAAGAATTAATTAGAATTTAGAATTAATTTAGAATTAAGAACATGAAGCCTATTTTTCGGACCATTAAGATTTTGACTGCTGTACTGTTTGAGCTGTAGAAATTTTGTACTTATAATAATTGTACTGTTAGTCACTTTGGATTAAAGCACCAACTAATTGACTAATTAATAATTATTGCACTGTACTGAGTGGTTTTATGTCTGATGTGTTTGTGTAGGTGTTCTCCAGTGCCAAATACCCTGCTCCAGAAAAACTGCAGGAATATTCGTCCATCTTTACAGGTGCAGTAGATCCCGCCTCCCAAAAGCGGCCTCGCTTTAAAGTTCAGAGCAAACTCCGCCCACTGGATGACAAGGCCCTCCAGGTGAGCAAATTCAGTCATTTGTTTATTAGCTCCTGCTCCTGCTATCTTTCTTTCAAGTCTATATGGCTCATATTTTGTTTTTAAAAAATCATTGAAATAAATGGAAATATGAGATAG